TATGAACTACCTGTATGTGCAAAAGAAGTGGTGTAGTTGGCTCCTGCATTCTTCTGTCCATCTGAAAGGCTAGAGCTGGGTGAATCTTTCTTACTCATAAGCTGTCCAAACCTCTCCAATTTTGTTCTCACTGCTGCTACTGCAATGGATTCCCAATCAGTTTGGGAGAGAGGGGCTAAAGAGTCTCCTGTAGTGGCTACATTTGCATTTCCCTTATTGTTTCTTATCCGAGCAGGTATAAGATTTGGATGAAGCTTCCAACAAGTGTCCTTGGTATGCTTAGGCTTCTTGCAATAATCACATAGCCGACTGGTCAATCCCAGGCTGTCTCAGCATTACATTCCTCCTACTTTCCTCTCCAGAGACAAAAGCATAGGCCTGAGAGAGTGTCACATCCTCCCTAGAAAGAATATGCTGCCAAGCAATGTCAAATTCAGGGTTCAGCCCTGCCAAGAACTCAAAAACCCTATTCCTCTCTACCAGTCTGTGATAAGTTGTTGCATCATTTACACTTTCCCATAACGCAGTATCTAAGTGATCCATTTCCTGCCATAGGGTTTTAAGCATGGAGAAATACACAGCAAGAGGTTTTTCTCCTTGTTTCATACTTATCACCTGATTTCTTAACTGATAGGCTCTGGCTTCATTAGCCCATAGGAATTTTTTTGCAATACGAGGTAACATAGAATTACACAACCAGGACATTACCATGTAATTCTCTTGCACCCATTGGGTGGGATTCCCTAATTTTCCACGGGCATCAATAGCCATCTTAACTGATTGTGCCCACTCCAAATAATTTGTGCCATCAAGTTTTACTGTAGTAATGATCTCAAACCCAAAAATATCACTACTACCTCCAACACCCAGTCCCACAGTACCGGTAAATTTCATCTCGGTATTCCAACTCTCTATTTTACTTCAAACAGCTCAATAATAAGAAAAAAATAGATTGGAGACCTTCAAAAAATAATTTAATATCACACATAGAAACCAACCCTTCCGGAAGAAGAAAACCCTAGCTGGAGAGAAATCTCTCTCCTCTCCACGCCTCCCAACAGAGAGAAGTGAATCGATCACTCCAGGAGGCCTAGAAAATTTCAGAAACCAAACCGCCCTCTTCAGAAAATCAAAAGAAAACTAACACTACCTGGGCGCCCAAGATCAAATAAAAAACAAAGAGTCCAACTTTTCTGGGACTCTTCCCCGTACTCCAGTTCTTCCTGATTTTGATGCCGAA